ACCTATGGACATGGTCCCTCTATCGGGATTTCTGGTCATATAGAATTCATGTAATGCCCCTTGGCCCATGATTATTCAAAATGTTAGCCTAGGATCTAGGAATGACCACTACCAGTCACCAAGGACCAATGATTTTCCCGGATCACCTAAACACTGATTCCCTTCCCCAAAATGATCAATACCATCCAAAGAGATCTAGTGTAGCCTTGGATATGTTAATTTTGGGGGTCCATACGGGAGGTATGTAACATTACCTGGATGGGATTACTCTTATAAAAGTGAAGATATGTGATGATCAAAATCACTGACATGCAGAACTAGTGCCGGGCCGTTGGAATGCACATGCTTGAGCAATATAAGACTGATGCGGGGATGGGGTTTTTGTCTCTTCCTCAGATGGATTTGCCCAAAACAGAGGTACACATGGCATACCACATGGTATATATATATCTCTCTCTCTCTGTGTGTTATGTACACTTATACATTTTTCATGCCAAAAATTAAAAGAAACTGTATAACTTACACAAAAACTGGAAACCATGTATGGTCCCTGGCCTCAATGTTGGGTTTGTCTGACAATTGGGCACCCCGAAATCCCTTGACCTAAAAGTTACATAGCCATTTCTGTAATTATACTGTACGCCCTTTTTTTGGTACGCCCATTTTGACCCAAAACCAGATAATATGTGCCAGTGAAAATCCCAAGGTCATCGGCTTTCACGGCACGGCATCCACAGGCTTTCGCCAAGAGCTCGGTACGGGACATGATTCATCCGGTTGTTCGAGCAAGGGTGGGGGCCAGGCCATGAGCAAATTGCCTTGGTTTTCTGAAGCTGTTGCGCCAAAGTGTAGTGATTCAACAAAAATGGATTATTGGCGTATTTATGCAAATATATATATATAATATTTGTATATATGTATACATGTAAAAATGTAAACAAGTATACATATGTAAATATGAAATTAAACATTTCAGTGAGTAAATAAATATATCTATCTACATATATTTATATATATATATATATAGATGCTTGAAAAATGTCATTTTGAAAATGTAAAAATGTATATTTGTGAATATGTAAACAGAAATGTATATATATATATAAATATGTACATTTGTAAATATTTGATATACATAAATAAAAATATATATATATAATGAAAGAGAGTAAATATGTAAATATGAATATGTATATATAAATGTATATGGAAAATCTGTAAAACGTATGTATTAAGATAATTGTCTTTATGCAAATTTGGTGTTACGTATAATTTAAGTAGATAAAACATGTATATATTAAGTACATATTTATATTTATATATATATATCAATATATATATATATATATATCAATATCAATATATATATATATATATGTATATATATATATTTTTATATGCCCGCGAGACGGTGTGTTCGCCGTCGGCGCACAGTGTCTACTTGTGTGTTTTATCGTTGTTCTCTGTCATCTTGACGTTCCCAAAACAATATGTTTTTGGGTCAAGATGCACCTTACATGGTTTTTGCTTGATGGCGTCGTAACGTTTTGTGCGCATGTGTGCTTAGATTTCGTTTGTGTCTTTTAGTCGTTTTCTTTGCGTTGCATCATGTTACGCTACAGACGTCTTCCTGCACGGTGGGGTGGGGTGGGGCTGAAAACGTCCAATTGGAATTGCATTCCCACGTCATGCGACGCTCTTGGACGTTCTCTTGTAGTAGTACACGCACGTCATGCTACGATAGTGCGCGTTACGCATGGGGAAGCATCCAATTCAACTTGTACTCCCTGAAGATGTTGAAGATGTTGCTGTGCTGAAGATGTTGAAGATGTTGCTACATTGAAGGTGTTGCTATGTTGAAGATGTTGCTACCTTGCGACGCCAAAACAAACTGGGAAGATTCAACAAAACTTTGCACAAAGAACGGTGGAAGTTATGGCTGCAGCTGCTTTGCGCAGGGCGACTACTAGGACTAGGGGCATGATGGGAACTCTTTGGCAATGACTAGCAATCGATGACACCGACTTCTTCGCCTGCGACGGCGTTCGACGTTTTGAGTCTCGGTTCCGGCGTGACGAGCTGGAACTACGACTGTCTGATCTTGCCTGAGAGACTGCAACTGTTCCGGCAGGAACTGAAACATCTGCCGATTCGGAACTGATGTTCAAACTTGACATTGGATCTGAACTTGACATGACTGAAAAGAAAGCCCGCAAACAGAACACCGTTCCACACGTGATCATAAGGAACAATACAAAGCAGTCTGCCCACTGTGGCGCTTGAAGCAGCCAAAAGAAGGTGGTTATTAAAGGCTCAGAAGTCCAAAAGAAATCCAAGCAATCCCTTCCCACTGAAGCGCAGTGAGGGGCGCAGGACGTTCAAATGTAGAAAATAAATTCAATGCAATGAGTTGCAAAAGGTGCAAGAGCCAAAATGCACTCCAACCTGAAAGAGACAAGTCGAAATTCCAATGCAATTGCTTGAAACCACCGCTGATGACACAGTGAAACAACCAAAGAAGCCCGCGGTGAAACACAAAAGAAATGCTGGCTCTTGCAAAAGAGGTTCAAGGCAAATCACAATCAAATTCCACAATGAGCAAGCTGATGAAATCAAGTTGTAAAAGTCAAGTCAATGATATTGCCGTGGCAAAGTGCAAGACTTCTGAAGAACACTCAAAGCAAAATGCCCAGAACTCAAATTGTAGTCTTGGGTTATACTCAATGCAAAATGCCGAGGCCCTGACGACACACACACACAGCATAATGCTGAAAAAAAATTGGAGCACGGTACTCCCACAGTAGCGCTGACGCAGTCTTTCAGCAGTGAGGCACTTCAGGCACTGCTCCTAGAAAAGTGTTTTACAAACTGCTTTGCCGTTGGACTACTGGACCTTGACCGGAAAGGAAGGGTTTATAAATGAATAAGTGGGTATGATTTACTCCACATTATTCAAGTATAGAATGCCAGAATGTATGACAAAGCAAGAACATATCCAGATAGACCGCCAAAATTTGTGCCAGATAGAATGGCAGTGTAAATGCCACGGCGGGGATCGCTCGAAGCAAAGAGTTTTTAAATTTTCACTATTTCCTGTCCTCCAAAATTGTTCAAACTGATCTGTTGAGCAGAATCTTTCAGGGAGGGGTTGCTTTGAGGGTGAAAATTGATTTGGCCGAAAGCGGCCACTTGCGGCCACTCGCTTGGAAGTATATGGAGCGGCCACTTGCGGCCACTCGAGTGGCTGCAAGTGGCTGCAAGGGGCTGCGTGTTTGAAATTCAAATAACGCGCGTTTTGCAATCTCAATGAAATATTGTCTTTATGCATTTTTAGTTATACGTAAAATATGTGTACATATTGTGTATACATGTATATATATATATATATATACATGTATACGTGTAATTACAAGTGTATACACATATATATGTATTGATGGCATCGCCAAGGTAAATTCGATTAAGAATCTCTGTGTGCGGGATTGAAGGTTTAAAATGTCGAAGATATCTAAACAAAGGTATTCCTACATGTCTGCTGAGACCCGGATCTGTTTAAACCCTGACCCCACCGCAGATTTTGGCCGAGCGCGTGATGCTGCTATGATCGCGGAAGTTTGAACCGTCCAAACGCTCTGCAAACAACTCGACCTGGCATCCTGGCTTTGACCATAAAAGGATACTAAATTTGCATATTCACGTATATGCATATTCTATGCAAAATTAAATTAATACATATTAAACGAAAATACATGACATTCGTTCAACCATGAAAGGATATGACTTTGCCGAAACACATGCATGAAAACAACTTGATTTGTGTGGTTGAGCCTGGGTTCAACCATGGATCCCTGGCGTTCAAATATCCGTGTGTCCCGGACCTTGCGACCCGGAGACTTGCGAATACCCCCATGCTCCATCTTTGGTACCTTAATGTACTTTACATTTACCGCAGGAACCGAAAACATTGACCTGAATATAGGTAAATATAAATAATATCATATAGCAACGTAATTTGGTTGATGGTCTCAAAATTCTCAAATTCAAGCCAGCCCAAAAAACATAGCTCAAACATGCATGAACTGGAGAGGAACATAAGGAACCAATATTACAGGAACCCACCAACCATACTTTGAATGAATTGTATGCTTGACGCAGGGCCCGCAAGTAAAATGTCATTCTGTCAGCTGAGTGCATCAAAAGTTGCCTCTATATGTATATATATATATACATTACATTGGTGTAAATGCAAACATATCCAAATCATTTTCACCTACCCTTCGCCAGGGCTTTCGCATATGGGTCTATCACACGCAAGAACCGGACTCCTCGCTGAAGGACGGCCACAAAATAATTAAATTGTGGACCTTACCGAAGGTACATCGTATTGGAATCTAAAATGCAATCGGAGAAATTATTTGTAATATAGTCATATGCAGTGGTGAATCATCATTCGGCATCTTTCGCGCCATACTAATCAGTTCGTATCTTTGGTTCCATTGGACAAACGTACATGGCGCTGCAAATCTCGTCACATTGGAACTAATTCCATGAAACACCATTGTATATAACTTGAAACTGATTGGATAGCAGGTGGTGAAACATACCGCTTTTCATCTTAGGTGGTACAAGGTGCCCCCCGTGTTATTATACTATAAGTTGGTCTATAAACCCCAATGAAGGTGAACTATAGATGTCCCCCATATGGAAACCCTACGTAACCGAGTTCCAAGTCAAATTCGCTACCTAGGGGGGCCCACCTTGTACAAATGCAGTATTCCATTTTCTGCTCCACTGGTCATCTCCAGGATGCCCTGGCTGAAGTGGGCTGAACCCTTACCATCACGGGGTCACGGCGCAGTTACTAGGCAGCGGCAGCTCGGGATTGAATGCTGGGTAACACAACAAAAATATTTGCCGATTTCACTGAGTAGTTTGTGGGCCATCAATAATTCAATGTAAAACACACAAAACTAATGGTACAATTTAGGTACGGAGTTTAT